GGGCGTAGCCTGTGCAGAAGAAGCCTCCAGCAAACCCAGACAGGACCCGGGATTGGCTCATAGCCGGGGACAGATGCAGCAAAGGAGGAGGGAGGTCACAGCTGATGATCTCAGGGTTCTAGAGGAGGCGGGAGGGGAGAACTGGAAGGGAGTGAGATGTGAACCTGGCCCCCAAGCCTAATGGCTCCCCCAGGCAGAAAGCAGGAGGGCCCTGAAGGGACTCAGCCTGTCTCTAGCCCTGGTCCCTGGGACACGGTCAGGTCACGGCCCTGCAGGACTAGCCTGGACCTCACAGACTCCCGGCTTCCCACACTGTTCTGGCGGTCCCTGGGTGAATGTCAAGCTGGGAGGTCGACCTCAGTGGACCTGTCTGTGTTGGGGTGGGTGAGGGACTGCTGGGGTGCCCTCTCAGTACCTGAGCAGAGAGGTCTTGGCTTCCCCCTGGGCAAGAGCGGGACAACCTCCCCCAAAATATCTGCTGACCTTTGCCCATAAGGTCACCCAGAACATCACGGGGCTCTGGGGGCCCGTTGAGTTCCAGATGGCTCCGACAAGTCCCGCCAACGCCAGAGCAGGCCCTCTGTGGACGCCAGCCTCCCCCCACTGCCCCCTACCCCACCCAGAAGCAGCCAGTTCCCCCCTGTAGGCGCCCCCATCCTTCAGTGCTTTCTCTGATCCGAAAAGCATGACGATAATTAGGAGTTATGGGATGCTTCCTCTCAGTGAGGCTGTTTCATCTTGACAGCAACCCTCAGAACAGCCCCATCATCCCTGTCTTATGTCCCACGGGAAGCCTGGGACAGATGAAGAAACTGATGCTCAGAATGGTGCCTCCAGTGATACACAACCCCCCGCCCCCGGCCAGCCAGTCTGCTGTGACCAAGCCGAACCCCGGGCTGTGTGGATTTGGGCCTGTCTGTCTCCCTCTCATCACCTGTATTTCATCATCCCGCTCCAGGATGTGTCTGCAGAGACATACCCTGGGCTTTTCTCCCTCGATTCCCTGGCACAGGGAACGGCAGCACCTGGTTGCTTTTTTTTTTTTTTTCCAAAACAAACCTTCATTATTAACTGCTTACCCTTCAGTCTTAGCTAATATTCAAAACCTGTTACGTATTACGTGGGGAATAACATAATCTCTCTTCTAGATATCCCTTCTCAGGGGTAATTCGTTTTGAGAACTAGGATTGCAGATGGAGCAGTCGTGGGCCTGAGAGCAGACACAGGCAGAGCAGGGACTGGGCCTTGAGTCTCCTGCACATAGGAAGGGAGGCTCAAACGACTGCATTGTGAAGCCGGCCGTTTTGGTCCACTAGTTAAATAATAAGCTGAACGATGGTGTTGTCGAAAGACTGGAGCCAACTGAAAACCATCTTGTTCCAAATGTACCTATGCCCCTGCCCTGCCCTGCATCCCTGTCCTCCCAGGCCCGGCGGCAGCCACCACTTCAGCTGTGGAGAGGCTCCGTGTCCCGTGTCCCAGTGTCCAGCCTCAGCTGGGGCTCGGGCTCTGAGGAAGGAACTGGCCTGGGACTCAGGCGTGCAGGAGCTCTCCTCCAGAGGAAGCCCCGCCCACGCGCCAGGCCAGGGCCCTGGACGGCTCCTGGTCCCTAGAGGAGATAATGCCTTTGTCCCCAAGCTCAGATAAACAAACAGAGCCGCTCAGACGTGTGTGATGGGAGGGCCGGGAGTGGCACCCCACCCACAAAAATTGGCCTTGCCTGCCTGCCTGCCTGCCTGCCTGCCTGCCTGCCTGCCTGCCTGCCTGCCTGTCTGCCGAGGTACAAGCAGGCGCAAGCAGTGTCTAGGCCCAGTGAGGTGGCAGGCCAGTCCTCACCCATTCTGCAGGTGGAGAAACTGAGCCCCAGAGCAGGGTGGCCCTGTCTCCATGCTGTGGTCATCAGCTTCCCTGTACTTCCCACCCACGAAGGGCAGAGCCTCAGGGTCACCCGCACTCTCTGCAGCCTGACACAGCAGCCTCTACACAAGCTCCCCCACGTGCATCAGGCCACATCCCGCTCAGGGCCCCGGGCCCTCCCTGCGCCCTTCCCACAGGCACATCAGAGCCACAGGAAGCAGGGCCAGCAAGCAGGCGACCAAGAGCCAAGATGGGGAAGTTTATTTTCTAAGAATCATCTAAACACATAGGGAATATTTTTAGTCCCTGCCTCCCACCCGGATGCCAAATCAAAACAGGGGGTCAGCTAGACGTCTGGTCCCACGGGGGATACAGAGCGGCCGTGCAGACAGGGTGGGACCCTGCGCTGCCGATCCGCCCTGCCCTGGTGCAGAGGTCAGCAGGGCTCCCTCTGGGCACTGCCAAAGGGGAGCGCTGGCCGTGGGGTTCCAGGAGGTGCAGGGGAGTGACCCCAACTACTGACGGCCCCTCACCCTCCCTGTACCACAGCTTCCCCACCTGTGCAACTGGAGAAATAATGCTGCCCCCTAAGAGCATAGTGGGGCAGGCCCGTGCCTCGGGGGTCCGCTAGCACCGCGACCGGCTGACCGGCCGTGCAGGGCCCGTGCCACCCTCCCCAGGCCTGGCCCGCGGGGCCGAGGCTGGCCGTCTGTTCCGCTATGTGTACTTGCCACCACCCATGGGTACCAGGGCGCTGCTCTCACAGTGAAGGCATGTGGGGTTGGGGTGCCAGGCTGGGCCCTCTTTGTGAGTAAGGAGGTCACTGGCAGCTCCCATTGTGCCCGGAGAGCAGTATCAGGAGCCGGATCTAGCTGGGCACAAGCTGCTGGGGGTGGTCTGCTACGGGGCCAGGCCTGAGGGTGGTGTGAGGAGAGGAAACTCTCACGCACACACACCCAGTCAAAGGAAATGCCCATCAATCTGTGTCCAGGGTGCAGGGGCCAATTCAGGGGGGCTGGTGCCACTCCTAGGGTGACTGACCAGGAGTGACCTTGCTGGGAGTCTTGCTGCAGCACCTGCTGCGGCTTCAGGTGCAGGGAAGGCGGCAGAAGGCAGAGAGGAGGCCAGAGACCTGGCCCTCACTGGCAGCTTCATTATTATGGCTTTGGCGTCAGGGGCCTGGGGGAGGGTCGCACCCCTCTGTCTGGAGTCTGGCCTTGGAGGCCAGGGCTCCCTTCGTCACTGGCAGAGGGCTGGGACTTCCTGGTCCTACTGCCATGTTATTCTTTGAATGTTGCCTTGAGGGCAGGCACGGAGTGGGGGAAGGGGTGGTGAAGGTGGGGGGGCACCCTGAGTTAGGGAGAGGAGGGCACAGTTTAAGTCTTAGATACCCTGCAGGCTTCGCTTCGTGGGAACCAAGAGAACAGGTTCCTGTCCACACACCCCCTGCTGACACAGGCTGCCTGCTGTTGCCATGGTGACAGTAGTGCCACCCCCCCCCCAGGGCTGTGGCTGCGTGGTCACCACGGTAGGGAGGGGGTTGCTTATTCTTGGTCACGAAAGAGAACAGCAGGGAGAGGCTGGCATGGAGGGGGCAGCCCTTCTCCCTCTCGCAGACCTGGCCTGCCGTCAGGGACTCTGAGGGGGTCAAGGAGGGAGAGGCCAAGGTCCCCTCATCCAGCCAGCTCCCTCCCCAGACCAGCGTTGGATAATGGGCCCCTCCTGTGCCCACCTAGCTGGCATCACATCTCTCAGCGGTCAGGAAGTTCACCCTAGTTGTGGCTATTAGAGAGGCCCTGGGCCTGGCCCTTGGGGACTCCTCTTCACCCAACAAAACTAGATCTTGTCCCCATCACTCCCCTCTGAAACCCAGCCCAGCCCTGGGTGCCTGGGTGAAGTTCTCCCCATTCCCTCTTCCCAGCTAGCTGAGGTTTCCCAAGACCCTCCAGTCTCACTCCCTCCTGGGGTCCTAAAGGGAAGAAACCATTAGCCATGCAATTGTGGGGAGAGGGGTGCATCACTCAGAACCCCTAAATTGGATTTGCCAGGCATACCACACCACACTCACACGCTCTCACACACACACACTCACTCTCTCTCTCTCTCTCTCTCTCTCTCTCACACACACACACACACACACACACACACACACACACACAGGAGGGCTCCCCTCTTTTCTCCTCCATCCCCTTCCTTCCCTTTTTCCTTCTCTCCCTCAGCTACTCTGGCTTCCTCCCTCCCTCCCTAACTCTACCCCCCACTGGCCTCCCGCTGTCCCTGGGACTGGCACTTGCCAGCCTCCAGATGGCCTCCCGACCCCCTCCAAGTCTGGATGCCAAGGATGCCAGCGTCAGGGCTGACGTCCTTCTTTTCTGCCTGAGCTTTCTCTTAGCACTCGCGGTCTTCTGACCAACATCCGCGGCCTGTTTGACGTACAGTCTGTCTCCCACTGGACGCAGGTCCAGGAGGGCAGGTGCTTTTTGTGTGTCTGGCCACATTCTCGGTGTTTAGGACACAGATGCTCCAGATATACTTGAGCAAATAAGTGAAGCTCCTGTGCCTGCCTCACCTGGAGGCATCCGGCAGTACCCGCAACACGGGGCCTCTAGGACAGAGGGGGAACCCCGGGCTGGGGTCTCAGTGGGCTCTGCCTCTGCCTACACCCCACCCCCACCAGCTGCCTCCCTGTGTGGCCTCCTCCAGTCTCCTTTCTGCGTTCCAGCTCCCTGTTACACAACCAAGCGGTGGGCTGGAACATCTCTGGCTATTACCACCACAGAAGCTCTAAGGTGCTTCCTGCATCTCTCCAAGTAAGATGTAGAGCAAGTTGGCAAAGCTGGAGGAGGGGGGGTCTGGTGGTCCCCACTTGGAAGACATCACCAGCTCTGGGTTGAGCTCACTGGGTTCCAGCGAGCCTGCCAAGTTGGGTGAGAGAATAGGGCACTTTATTGGGCACTAGGCCAGGGAATCTTAGCCTTCTCGCTGGATCTAAGCAGGAGGGAAGTAAAGCTTATTAGTCTGTTTTCCATGTGGGCTGAGGGGAACAAGGCAGAGAAATTGTGGGAACTGCAAAGAGATCTGAAAAATCTCCAAAAATAAATCCATATTTTAATCACCATCAAAGTCCATCCACACTGGGAAGCTTAAGGCCTAAATCCACTAAGGGTGGAGGTCAGAAGTGTCCAGAAAGAAGCCATCATCGGAGGGAGCCAACAGTCAGGTAGGCGAGTGTGGGAGCCAGCAGGGAGGTCAAGGGCAGGGCCAGCAGCTGTCCTGCGGCCTGGGACTTGAATACTGAGCGCTGTCCGAGGCGCTGCAGGGGCCTGACGTTGTCTGTCATGCTCACTTTCTTCTGTTTATCATAGTACAGCTTCTCCGAGAACGCCAGGATCTGTGGGAGGGGCAGGCTCGTGGGGAGGGGTGGCAGGGGGCTGCTGTGAGCCCCCCCAGCTCTCATTGGCAAAGAGGCTCAGAAGCCCCACCTCAGGTATTTATTTGTGCAGATGAAAAGAATAAGGGCTATAAAGCACTTGGTCTTGGGGGCACAGTCCCCATCAGCTTCCTCAAGCCAAGTGTGTGCATCCTCCTGCAGGGCGTCTGGGGGTGGTTAGGTGACCCCCAAGGCCAGGCCCCACCTGCAGAGTTTCTGCTCTGGCAGGCCTCAGGGAGGCGTGAGAATGAGGAGTCTGGCTGGCTCTCGCTGAGGTTGACTCCACTGGCCCAGGAAGCCCTCTGTTAGCCCTCAGAGCCGGCCCACCCACCCACTTTGCTGCAGGCAGCCTGAGAGCCACCCCTGACCTCCCTGTCACACCCAGCCTCCCTCTAGACTCAACCCTGGAGGGGACAGCTGCCCCCTAGGGAATGTATGGATACAATCAATGGAAATGGGGCTCCCTGGAGCACCTCCCCCAGCCCAGAGGACCCCTGGGGGACCCAGAGGGGTGGTTTCTGGGGAGCCAGGAAGTGGGAGCCTGTTCTTCTTCGGCCAGGTCCTGGGTACCTGCTTCTCCTGGAGTTGAATGGGCTCCTCAAACACAGTCCAGATGACTTTCTCCTCACAGCCAGGTGTGGTGAGTGAGCCCAGGTAGCGGTAGTAGAGTTTCAGTTTCTCCTCCTCCGGGAGCAGGTCAAACAGGCTGATGCCCTCTTTCATCACAGTATACATTTCTGGAGCAGGGGTCAGGATACCATCCGTTGCGTTGAGGAGGGGGGTGTCTGAGGACCTCATTCTGAGCCCAGGCTGCCCACCAGCTGGCCTTCTGCAGGAGGAAGTCTCCTCCCGCCTGCTCCCCCTAGCCTCCCCTCCTCCACACCCTCACTCACCAGGCTGGGAGATTTGAGGCAGTGCGTCCACCAGGGGCTGGAAGCCATCATTCTGGGATCCGGCCTGGAACCGAGGGAAAGGGGCTTAAGAAGCACTGTGGGGTGTGGTCACTGCCCCTTCATGCTCCTGGTCTGGGGTGGGGAGGGCAGGCAGCTTCAGGGACTGAGGCTCTGGGCTCCCCACCTGGGGGGACACATGTAACTGAGAAACAGGGGGAAGTCAGGCCCCTCCCACCAGGTCTCAGACTCCTAAGAAGCAGCTCCCCAGAACCTGGCTCCTTTGGGAACTGAGAGATGGGGCCCCCACCTTCACCATGAAGGCCAGCACTGCGATATCGTCTTTGGAGTCCTGGGCTTCCTTCTTGTTCTTTGATGTCTCTTTGACTTTTTCGTGGACTATGTGCATCTGGTGGAAGGCGGGGTGTGAAAGGGATGGAGAGAAGACGGATGAGAGGGCGGGCCCCCTCCTTGCCCAACAGAGGTCCACTCAGAGCCCAGGGAAGGCGCTGGCCCAGGAAAGGGCCCTTACCTCCATGGCAAAATGCTCCCCATCCAGGCTGTGCTCCGAGCCCCAATCCAGCTTCTTGGACCAGTGCAGGTGCAGCTGCGTGGCCTGGTACTGGGCATCCAGGCCTCCCCCAGAGATGATGATATTACTGGACAGCAACACCTTCACTGGAGGGGACAGGGAAGGGGTGTGGGCCTGGCGCCCACTTCCCCTAGCCCTCCCAGCTCTGCCCAGGCGGGGCCTTCTCTCCCACCTCCCTCTGCCCAAGCCTGGAGTGGCAGAGCCCCTGACCGTTCCTCCTCTCTGCCTGCTGGCCTCGCCTCTGCCTATCCCCCACTGCTCCAAACAGGCAGCTCACCTGGGTTCTCCCCTGCGTCAGCCCCCTGAACGGTGCCCTGGTGTCCTCAGGGGAGTGTCCAGATGTCCTGGGTGACCTGCCCCTGGGCACACCTCGGCTGCCCCCGGCCTGGTCCCCGTCCCTCCCGTCTCACTCTCCGGCCATCCACAGGAGCCACAGGAGTCCCCTGAGCACCCCAGTTTCACGCCTCCACGCCGTTGCCCATGTTGTTCCTTTTTCCAGGCGCCTCCCCACCCCCAGCAGACCGGGCTGGTGAAACGATGGAACACACTGCTCTTGCTCCCTCCTCTCCAAAGCCCCCTGGCCTGCCCCTCCCGGTTGTCAGCCACTCAGGGCCAGGCCCGCCCAAGCCCCACCTGTGTGCCCGTTGTTGGTGACATTCCACTTCTGTTTCTGGTCATAGCCAGACAAGGAGAAGCGCCCCAGGCTTGGGTCCACCTGAGCCTTGGCGGTGACGATGTTGATGGGAGACTGCCGGTCCTTCTGGCAGTCGTGCGTCCACTCATCTGGCCCTGGGCAGGGAGGGAGGGCAGGCTGGCCGTCAAGGGCGCCTGGCTCCACTGGTGTCAGCCCTGCGCTCCCAACTCAGGCATCTCGTCCTCAGGCTCTCGGGGCCTTCTTCCTCTCTCTCTCTCCTCCACCTGTCTCTCTCTGTCTCTCTCTCTCTCTCTCTCTCACACACACACACACACACACACACTTGCGCATGCTTGTGCAAAGCCAGTGGGGTCCATGGGATGTGCTCTGGTTGAGGGGTGGGACAGGGTGGCCAGCTGGCGGTGTGAGTTCTGGGGTGAGAGAGCCCAGAGGTTCTGCTGGGATAATCCACTAGCCAGGGCTCTAGGTGGTCAAGGGAGAGTGGGAGAGCACTGGGAAGCTGGGAGAAGCGTCCCTTGGGAATGGACATCTTGACTGGGCTGAGGCAGGGAAGTAACCGCAGGAGCTGTTCACACCCTGGTGACTCCCACACCCTGGTGGCCCCACACCCAGCCAGCTGGGCGGGTTCAGGCTGGGTCAGTAGCACACACAGCAGGGCAGGAGGGAAGCGGACTTCAGGGGAGATGCTCAGCGTTTGAGTAAAAGTGCAAAGGCCTTCTGGGCACACGGGCAGGGGTGCACTGGAATGGAGCCAGCGTTCCGCGTTCTTATAAAAAAAAGAACAGCGTGTATTTTCCCTCTGCTGCGTTGCTGGCTTATGTCATCCAGTATTTGCGCTCTTGGGACAGTGAGGACAACCGGAGGTGCAGGGAAGACTCCTGCCGCCCTCAGTCCTGCTCCCTGAGCGCCAGGAGTGTGGGTGTACACGTGTGCTGCTGCGCTGGGCGCCGATACCGGCCGAGGCGGCCAGCTCCCCCTTGGCTCCCCTCTCTGGGCATCCAGGGTACCTGTCAGCCCCAGGTGTAGAGACGCTCGCCCTCCACCCCGGCACTCACCCAGGCAGCTGTAGTTGGAGGCCTTGGCTTGAATCTGGTAGCACCAGTGTGACTCTGCGGCAGAGAGAGGACGTGAGTCTGGCACAGTGTGCAGGGCATGTGCAGCCCTGCTCTGGGCACACGTGTGTGTGCACACAAGCAACTCTGCAACTGTGTGGGGTGCGGGGGCAGAGGCCGGAAATATCCTGGAGTGGGAGCCCCCGTTGGTTGGATGAGGGCGGATTATTCCTGCGAGCTGGGACTGAGGTCCCAGGACAGGAGAGGTGAGAAAGTATAAGGACGGGGACTTAGGTGACAGAAGCAGCCAGGGCTTGCTGTGCCTGAGTCATCTCTAATCAACTGGCCATCTTGCCCCAGGGCAACCTCAAAGGCCCTCCCAGGCTGCCAGCTCTCCCCAGGGCTGAGGCTGCTCACCTTCACCCCTTCACCGTACCTTCCCTTCCTCCTTGCACCCCTCCCCCAAAGCAAGGCACTGGGAAGAGGGGAAGAGGAGGCTTAGCATCTGCAGCTGTGCCTCCCCGGGCCAGGGGACAAGGGGGCAAGGGGCAGCCTGGCTGCCACCCAGAGTTGATGGGGACCACGGAGAGTAGGGTGGCCCTGCCCGGAACACGCCCTCTCACGTTATTAAGACCTGCTTTTGGCCGGACTCAGAGCCCTCAGGGAGGCAGCCAGGCCTCGCTCCTTGCCCAGCCATCCCGAAGCCCTGGGCTTTGGGCCCCGCAGACTCAGATTCTAACCCTGGCTCTCCCTCAGGACAGCAGAACCAGCATCTCCGAGAAGCTGCCACGCAAATGCAAAACAAACGGGGAAACTGCAGAGGCAGATGATCACCCGGGGACCAGCTCTCTGCTCAATTTTTCTGTAAACCTGAACCTGCTCGGACATTGAAGTCTGTTGAGGAGGAGGAGGAGGAGGGCGAGGAGGAAAAGAAAGGGGGGTGCCAGCAGGCAGACAAAGCACGGGATCAGGGTTCTGGCTGGACCACTGCGGAGCTGAGGGCTATGGGCGAGTCACCCCACCTCTCTGCGCCTGGGTTTTAGCATCTGTACAATGGACCTCGCCTTATCGGTCTGCAGAGGACATTGAATGAGAAGTAGGAGAGCGAGTTCCAGGCCGGTTGGAGTCAGCAAAGGTCCTGACAAGTCCTTCCCTTCCCCTCACTTCGGGCCTGCTGGCTTCTTGTCAGTGCACAGATGGCAAAAGTGGAGGGCAGAGCGGGAGGTAAAAGTGCAGTGTGTTGGAAAGAAGTCGGGGATGAGGAAGTTCTTAAGAAAAGCAACGCTTCTGCACAGTGGGAGGAGGCTGCTGAGCCTCGGAGAGGGCGGCTCGCCTTGGGCTGCCAGGCACACCCCTCCTGCTCTGGGGTCCCTGGAAGGCAGATCGTGTGGGAGGGGAGCCACGGCCAGTGAGTTTCTCAGGGTAGGGAGAAGGACTGGAGGTCAACAAAGTGGCACTGGCATGTGGGTGCCTCAGAACCACCTGGGGTTTCTGAGGTTCCCAGCTCTGGATCAAATGCTTCAGCTACGCCGCCGCTGCTTCTCCAGAGCAGGACAGTCCCCGCTCTGGGTCTCCGAGGGCACCCAGTCCCCTGGCCCTGGACACCCTCCCCTTGCTGCATGTGAGCAGGGCTCTGGGGGAGCCCATTCCCCGGCCTTCGGGCTTGGCTCTGCCTCTTGTTATCACCGCTCATCTCTACGACAGAGTGCATTAACTTCTCGGAGTCCCACATTCTTCCTCAGGCAGAAGGAACTGCCACCAAATGCCCAGAGGCTGAGGAGACAAGGGATAGACGGTCTTTGCACTGTGAAAGGCTCCTTGTATAATCTAATCCTCCCGTGTCTTCACCCCTCAGAGAGCCAAAGGCAGTAGGGGCCTCCCCTCCTTGAGGGAGCTGCCCCTTCCCCCGCTAGACTGAAGGCCCCAGAGGAAGCCATTCCCGGGAAAGCTTTGCACAAGCCAAAGTCCTTGGGAGCCAGCCCCGAAGGGTGGAGCCCCCCACTCGCCTCCCCAGGGCCCATATGGTCCAGGCTGAGCTTTTCTTAGGAATGTGCTCTTTCCTGTCTCTGGCCACGGCTCCTGGGTTTATAATAGCGACCTCTGGTCCACTGTCTTAATCACAGAGACTTTTGACCTACTTAGCTGAATGCACTTGTAACTACCCTCTTCACAAGGCAGGAATCAGGAAGACACCATGTTGATGAAGACAAGGCCAGGGGTCAGATCACTGTCCCTGGGTGATGCTAAGAGGCTGGTTTTCTGGCAAAAGGAGGCGGGGTAAGGTAACAGGTCTGCCCTGCAGTAATTGTCAGTCCACCTCCCGGAGGGCCTGGGAAGGAGAGGGCTTCCAGGAGAGCTTGGCTCAAGGTTCAGTTCAGGGACTTGTCAGCCCCCCTGCCCAGACCAGGTGTGGAGTGAGAGAGTTAATAGCCATTGCCCCCCTACCCAACCCCCCTCTGCAGAAATGACTGAAGAAGTTCAAAATGCTGGACCTTGCTCACCCCACCCTCCCACTCTAGGGGGAGGGAGAGGGCCTGAAAACCAACTCAGCAAAACCCAAGTGTGCCCTGGGCAAAGTCTCAGCAACTCCTGGCCAGGGGTCCTGGGCTCTGGAGGGACCTGCTGTCCTGGCCCCTCCAACTCTGTCTGAGGCAGAGGGATGCTTGGAGGAGACTTCTGGGCCCAGCCTCAAGTTCCCAGCCTCAAGTGGTAGAAGAGGGCAGAGCTCAGAGAGCCCCAGCACTTAGAGGGAGCACAGGTTGCAGGAGGCTGAGAGCGTGCTGGCTCTCACCTAGTCATCACCTATGCCACATCTGAGTGTGCCACTCAGCACAACCACTATCTTATCTGAATCTTTAAAATAACACCTGAAGTCAGACCTCTTATCCCCGCTTTGTATGTGAGAAAACGGAGATTAAGTGATTTACCCCAAGGCTACACAGCTACAACTCAGCCACGTTACCTGCCAAGGTGTTTCAGTCCAGACGTTAAGTATGTTTCCATCACCGGGTCCCCCAAATACATTTTTTTTTTACATCCTGTCTGTTCTCTTTCCTCCCCTCCTACCAAAGTTCAGGAGTTGCTGCAAGATACCCCTCAATTCTCTGCCCCCAGGGGGCCAGTTAGTCTGAGCGCAGAGTACACTCCCTGTCTGGTACTGGGGGGCCCTGACCCCTTACCCCACCTCTGCGGGGAAAGTGTTTTAACTTTGGCAAGGAAATTTCGCCCTGTGTACCCCCAAAGACCACAGAAGGGATATCTGATCTGGGGACTAGCAAATGGGTTGGTCCTGGGAGGCTTTCAGAAAAAGAGAGGGCAGGAGAGATGTCTCCGGGAGCCCCGTGCCCAGCCGCTACAAGGGCCTTCAGCTCCTTATCAAATATTAACACGCCTCTCCTGCTACCTCCCACCTAGAGGAATAATTAAGAGCTCGGCCTCACCATTAATCTTTAAACGAAAATCACCCTGGCCGGAAAGACCGGCTTTGCCGGACCTCGGGTCTCCAGCGTTTGCCCCCCGCCAGGATCCTGGTCCAGCTCTGAGGGCCGGGAAGGCAAGGGGAGCCGCAACCTCTGGGGAGAAGGAGCCCAGGGTGGGAAGCGGGGATCCAGGGCCTTAGCACACCCGGTTTGCTGCCCTTGCTCTGGCCGGGGGCGGCCCCCAGACTGCGGCCACCCCTGACAGCTGAGCCGGACCCGAAGCGGCGTGAACCTCCAGA